ACATACATAGGATCCTGATTTACATAGGATGGGATCGAACAAGGCACTACTTAGTACAAGTTAAAGTTTACAACACCTGCAAATTCAAAAGTAAAATTCGCAAGACGAATAATTTCACGCAAAATTCCACCGAAACAAAATTGACGCGAATAAATCCCCGTAAACGAAAAAAAACGTGATCTGGCTACTTCCTTACTACTTTACTTGTACTACTTAGTACAAGTAAAATTTTACACACCCCAAAAAAAAGTTACCCCTGGAACATTACCGTAACGCAATTCGCATGACAATTAATTTCGTGCAAAATCCCAGACAAAAAAATTCACGAAAAAAAAACGCGCGATCTCGCCACATGGCGGACACTCACAGCTCCTTGCGCGCGGCGACGTCGGCGCACACGAGGCGCCACCTGGCGTTGAGCCGCGTCAGCTTGTCGTCGACCTGGCGGGCGCGGGCGTCGCCCGAGCGTTGGACGACGTCGTCGCCGGCGGAGTTGAGCGCCGCCACGGTGCTCTGGTGGTAGGACACGCCCAGCTCCAGCTCCTGCAAGGTCACGGCCAAGGTCATGCGAGGTCACACAAGGTCACGCAAGGTCACGGGTACAATCGCAACGTCACATGAGTTCGCGCGCCCACGGTTAAAATTTAAAGATCACAAGATCGCAATGTCAAGACCAAAGTCACGAGGTCATTTTTACGGTGACAAGGGGTCACACAAGGTCATGGCCACGGTCACAATGTCAGGGCCAATGTCACTAAGTCATGCCCAAGGTCACAATGTCAATGTCAATGTTACCTGGTTCTAGGCACTACGTTGCTAAGCATTGTTTTTTGTAGCACCCTATCTCGACACCCATTGGCTCATGCTGCCTGTCAATCAATCATACTAGACAACCGATATTGAGATAGTAAATTGAATATGGCATGCATACTATCACGGAAGTTTCTCTGCCACCGACGATGATGATGAGAGCTTTACATGGCTGCCTAGAGGTGGCGCCACCCGACCACGCCACCAGATACAATCTATACATCAACCCGAGATGTAAAGCTACAGCGGAACCAAGAAAACACTCACAGAGGATTGAGCCAGACAGATCGACAGATCGACAGAGAGAGAGAGAGAGAGAGAGAGAGAGAGAGGAGAGTGTGAGAGAGAGAAAGAGAGAAGAGGAGAGAGGAAGAGAGGAGAGAAGGAGAGAGAGAGAGAGAGAGAGAGAGAGAGAGAGAGAGAGAGAGAAGAGAGAGAGAGACGGAGAGGAGGACATATTACAATGTTTACCCGCCATTGGTCATCATCACCAGACGCCTGAATGCACAATTAATTAATACGTAAGCTATAGCCAAAGAGTCTTGTGTAATGAATAACTTTCTCTCTCTGCACTCTCTCTCTCACTCTCTCTCTCTCTCTCCTCTCATCGACTTCTCTCTCTCTGTCTTGCTCTCTAATCTCTCTCTTCTCTCATCATCTTTCTCTCTCTCTCACGTCTCTCTCTCTCTCTCCATCAATCTTCTCTCTCTCTCATCTGCTCCTCAAGTTTCTCTCTCACTCTGCTCATTCTCTCTGCTTCTCTCTCCTCGTCTCTCTCCTCTCTCTCTCATCTCGCGTCGTCAGCTCCTCTCTCTCTCCTCTCTCTCTCTCTCATCTTCTCTGCTCATCTCTCGCTCCTCCTCTGCTGCCTTTTCCCTGGCTCCCTCCTCTTCTCCTCCTCCCCCTCTCCTCCTCCCCTCCCCTCACTCCTCCTCCCTCTTACGTGTTTGTTTTCTCCACCGGCGCGTCCCTGACCTCCACGCCCCGGTCACGCGCCGCGTGTCCCTAGTATCATGCTCCTCCCTCCTCCTCCTCCTCCCCCTCCTCCTCCCTCTCCTTCCTCCTCTTTCCCCTCTTCCTCCCTCCTCCTCCCCCTCCTCCTCTCCTCCTCCTCCGCTCCTCTTCCTCCTCCCGTCCTCCGCTTGCTCCTCCATCCCTCTCCTCTCTCCCTCTCACCTGTTGTTTTCCTCTCACGCGCGTCCTCCTCCACGCCACCGTCAGCGGCGCGCGTGTCCGCTAGTTATCTCCTGCCTCCTCCTCGCCTCCTGCCTCCTCCCTCCTCACCTGTTGTTTCTCGCACGGCGCGTCCTCCTCACCCCCGTCAGCGCGCCGCGTGTCCCTAGTATCTGCTCGGCGCCGACTAACCAGGTCACGAGTCGTTCATAGTCGCTGTGGCTGGGGCGCCACCTGTACGGCGAGAGCTCGCCCAAACGGCCTGCGGACGAGAAAAAACAGGCTTTATAAGAGGGCTGCTGCAGCATGTGTGCGCGGTATAGAGGGCGCTCAAAGGGAGAGGGTGAACACGAGAACTATAGAGGCGCCGCGGGACGGCGGCGTGTGGTCGCGTGGTATAGAGGGCGCTTAGCAGAAGGGATTAGTTACACGAAGAAATAATAGGGGCGCTCAACACGGTGTCGGAGAATCACGGTAATTATAGAGGGCGCCCTGAGCAGCCGAGTCAAAAAACGAACGATTCGTGGGATGCGCGGCTGAAAGCGGGTCGCCGTGGTCGGCAGCAGAGCATTCGGGACCCGGCGCGCGTAATTTAACAGCCTCTTGATGAGCGACGGCGCGTAACTCTACATGCTAACGAAGTTAGGTAGCTTACCGAGAGGCGGGAAGTAGATGGGTCGTCGTGGGCGTGCGTGCAGGTCTGACACGGCTGGTGCAAGCGATGAGGCGGCGATCATTATATCGTTGGGTCAATATGAATGGACGTTAGAGTGAACCTAGGAAGGATAGAGCTCTGTGCCCCTTCTCCCCAGGTAACCTTTCTCCCCCATGTATCTTTCTTTCTCCCCGCATGTAACCTCTCCCTGTACCCTTTCTCCGTCCGATGTAAGCCTTCACCCCATGTAACCTTCTCCCCAATGTACGGCTTCACACCCATGTAACCTCTCCTCAAATGTAACCTTCTCCCATGTAACCTCTCACGCCCATGTAACCTTTCCCGCATGTAACTTTACTCCCCGATGTAAACCTCACTCTCCATGTAACCTCTCCTCGCCCCATGTTAACTTCAACGCCCGCATGTAACCTTCTCCCTAGATGTAATGCTGCTTCGCCCCCATTAACCATTTCTCCCTCATGTAACCTTCTCCCCCTCGATACTAACCTTCTCCGCGCATGTAACCTATCTTCCCCATGTAACCCGTTTCTCGCATCATCTGTAACCTTCTCCCTACATGTAAACTTCTCTCGCTCCATGTAACCTTCTCCTCATGTAAAGCTTCTGCCTCATGGTAAACTGTTCTCCCCCTGTAACGGCTTCTCCCCTCATGTAAACCTTCTCCCCCATGTAAACTTCTCCTCCATGTAATCCTTCTCCCCCATGTTAACTTCTCCCCATTGTAACCTCTCCTATGTAACCTTCTCCCATGTTAACCTTCTCCCCCATGTAACCTTCTCCCCATGTAACTTCTCCCCCATGTAACCTTCTCCCCCAAATGTAAACGCTCTCTCCATTGTAATCCATTTCTCCCCCATGTAACTTCTTCCCCCATGTAACTTCTTCTCCCATGTAAACGTTCTTCGCTTCACCCCATGTAACCTTCTCCCCGATGTAACTATCTCCCCGCATCGTAATCGTTCTCCGCAATGTAAGCTTCTTACCTCATGTAACCTTTCCCCCAGTAACCTTTCCCCGCATGTAACCTTCTCCCTCAGAACTTCTCCCCCATGTAACCTTCTCCCCATAGTAACCTTCTGCCTCATTGAACCTTCTTCCTCATGTAACCTTCTCCTCCCATGAACCTTCTCCGTCCATGTTAACCTTCTTCTCATGTAACGCTTCTCGCCCCATGTAACCTTCTCCCCCATGTAACCTTCTCTCCTCATTAACCTTCTCCCCATGTAACTTCTCCCCAATGTACTTCTTTCCCTATTGTAACCGTTTCCTCATGTAACTTTCTTACCCATGTAACCTTCTCCCATGTAACCTTCTCCTCCTGCCTCCATGTAACCTTTCCGGCTCCTCTCCTGCCGGACCTCTCCCATGTGTGGCCCTCCCTCCCTCGCTCTCTCCATCTGCCCCTCTCCCTCGTGCCTCCTCCCCTTCCTCTCCTTGCTTCCATCTCTTCGCCACCCATTATCTTCTCCTCTTCGTTGGCTCCCCCCCCTGCGCCCCTCCCCTCCCTCTCCCCTCCCCTCTCCCCCTCCCCCCTCCCCTTTCCTCCTCTCTCCTTCCCTCATCTCCCTCTTCTCCTTCTCTCTCTCTCCCCTCCCCGCTCCCCCTCCCTCTCCTCCGCCAGCCCTCATTACCCTTCACTAACCCTTCCCCTCTCTCTTCTCTCTCTCGGCCCGGCTTCCCCTTCTCTCTCCTGTCCTCCCCCCACCTCTCCTTCCCCTGTCTCTCTTCCCCTTTCCCCTCCTCTCTATCTCGCCTCCCTCTCCCTCCCTCTCCTCCTCCCTATGCCGCCTCCTCCTCCCCCCCTCTCCTCCTGCCCTCTCTCCCCTCTACGCCTCTCTCTCCTTCCCTCTCCCTTCTTTCTCAACGCCTCCCCCTCCTTCCCATCTCCACTCCACCTCCCCGCCTCCGCTTCCTCCTTCTCCCCCTCCTTCTCCCGCTTTCCTCCTCTTCCCTCGCCCCTCTCCTCCTCCCCCTCTCTCCCGGCTCCGCTTCCCTTTCCTCCCCGCTCTCCCATCTCCACCGACCGCCACTCGTGACGGTTCGTGTAGGTTTGTTTGTTCTTAGTTTACCTATTTGTCCCTCTCCTCACTCTCCCTTCCCACCTCTCCCCATCCTCCCCCCCATCTTCCTCCTCTCCCTCTCCCCTCTCTCCTCCTCCCTCCTCCCTCCTCCCCTCTCACCACTCTCGTGAATATTCACTTGACGGTTCGTGAGTTGTTGTTCGAGTGCGACCAAAGTCGTTCTCGCAGCGTCTGCGGAGAGGAATCGGCGAACGCAATCGCTTGTTCTCCGGGTCGCCGGAGGATGACCTCAGCGTCCGTGTCTGTCCGCGGCTCGGCTC